CCTGGTAATCAGCCCGCTCTTGCCTCCTGAAGCAATTTCACTGTTCGAATGCAGCCAACCTACACTGTTCCAGCGCTAGTGATCTTCAGCTGGGAAAGCTCCCCAGAACTTAGATTTCAACACACTTTCTCAGATGTTTCCTAGCCGATTGCTTTATGTTTTGCCGCTGCCGAAGATGGTGCATGGCGAGCTTAACAAACACAACACGATTTTGCGTTGTGCTCAATACGCATCGGCTTTCGTTGTTTGCGCAGCATGCGCCCTCTGCTGCCCCGTCATTCCCGTCGCATTTTCATCGCCAAATAGCGGCGACCATGTGTTTTTTATGGGTATTGGTTTGTTTGGGTCAGTTTTCGTCACGTCCTGCGTCTTTCGCGTGCATTGGCAGACCACCACCACCACCACTGAGCCAAGCATCCGGAAGGACGCGTGGGCAGACGATCGCGCGATTGGCGACTCTTCGGGTAACTAGAAAAACGTGACATGAAGACGGAGCGCCTCACGACTGTGAGGCAGAAAAATGGAGCGCCCGACTGTGAGGCAGAGACGAGCAGCGAAGCGGAGGAGGAGAGGAAAGGAGCCAGAGCACGAGGCGGCGGAGGAAAGGGGCAAGAGGCGCCCGACTGAAGCAGGGCAGGGCTGGCAGCCATTCTACGCAATCACGGGTGCTGGGTCAGTTTGTGCACTTCTTGCGCCCATTGTTGTCTAGGTCGTCCGCGCCGCCGGCGTTCCACCTAGGTCTTCGGGGTGCCGTCTTGATGGCACACGAGTTGCTTTACCAAAGAATTGGACTCACTTGATACCCAAAAGCCTCCGTAGACACCGGCAGTGAACAGCATCCAGCCTATGTCTGTCGGCACTCAATAACCAAATATAATCAAGCGAATCAAGTAATTTGCCCAACACGCAGCTCTCGTATACTTTGTACTTGTGTGTTCCAACCAACTGATGTATGACCCCATATTTTCGCCAATTGCTTGAATATGCGCTGTGCTTCCCCCAATATTCTCGTCAATTCGGGGCTTGCTCTGGAAATGACATGCTGGAAATAACATGGCTTGGGCCTCTTCTTTAGATCACGTGATGCATGACCGCTGCGTGTTCTGCATGGCGTGCAGGGCAGTTGGCGTTCAAGACGCCATGGCGCTCCTGGAAGACAGGGCGGCGTGGCGCATACGCTCGAAGCGTTCCGTTCTGCAGCCGTAGCGGTGCGCCATGTTCCTGCCACAGCACCCCCGATTTGCATGGCGTGTTCCTTCCCTTCACGGTAGAGTCGTGCCGTGTCGGCGCGGTTGCGGCCCCAGCGCGGGCGTTCAAGGTTGAATGCCGCCTTTGGCTCAGATTCGGCCAATGTGGAGCGATTTGGTGATGGAGAAGTCGCTGATTGTAGGCGATGCTTAAGAAAACCTAAGTTTTCGTCCTGAGTCTCGATTATTCTTAAGTCTTCAATGCAAATCCCAATGTTTTGATAGAACTTCTGCGTTTTTATGGAATTTCTGAGACTATGAATTTCTTAACCCATGATTTCTTAAGCATTTCGCAGGCTGTATACATGTTGATGCACGGCGGGTTTCGGCCGTCAGTGAAGCAACCCCAGGGGCAAGCGTGGTGGAGCGCCCGCGCTTCGTGCACGACTGGATCAGTGGACGCGGCGGTCCCTGGAGGTCCACGGGGCGGCTGCTGGACATTTTTTTTTTTTTTGTTGTTGTTATTTTATACCAGCGCAGACGGAGCCCAGCGGCGCGACACGACAGACGAGCGACGGACGACAGACGTCGGCGGGCGACAGACGAGCCAGCGCAGACGGGCGGCTGCTGGACACGCCGTGAGGCGAGAAAGGGGGCTGCCGTTCTGATCTCTCGGGCCTCTTGGCCCAGAGGCCACGCAGCCAGTCGGGGAGCGCTTTCCCCCGCCCGTTCGCGGGGCTGTGAGTGCTGTCGCGCTTCGTGCTCCAGGGCGTGGGCCAGAGACGTGTCCTTCTCCCGGGGGCCAGCCGAGACCGTGCGCCTCGCGCGGCGCCAAGCGCGGAACCCAGTGATCTCCTCACGCCTCGGCCGTGACTGTCTCCCAATGACATGGGCCCTCGGAGCTCTCGACCCTCTGCATGGGACCATGTTTTCATCCAGGGCCGCGTTTTGACCGAGCCTCGTGCTCGTGCCGTGTTTTGACGGGCCTGGGACCTGAAGAGCTTTCCAGGGGCCCCCAATGGGCAAACACCAGCCGTTAGGCTTTTTCGTGACGAAGCTGCGTTCTGGGCCCCCAGAACTTCGTCCCCTGGACTTTTCCTGGGGTGCGTTGGGGCCTGAATTTTGAGAAGGAGTTCAGCCGTGGCCGCGAGGGTGTCCCAGGAGGCCCAGAAAAGGTTGTCGGACCGCCCAGGCAGTTGTTCGACGAGGCGTCCCGAAGGCCTGGGTGGGCATCGTCCTCTTCCTCCGCCGCCGCCTCGCTTTTGGCTGTCAGGCGGCTGGGCCAGGCCAGAGCTTCCCGGGGGGCGCGCCCCCCCCTCACCCCTCGGTTTCGTCTACCGCCAGGCCCGGCCGAAGGAGGGCCAGCTACCGTAGCCTCTGAAAAGGGGAGGCGGGACACGTCGTCGACGCGCGAGCGAGGGAGGCATTGGGGGGGACGGATGCAGGAGGGAGGGAGGGAGGGAGGGAGGGGGATGATGATGAGGAGGAGGAGGAGGAGCAGGAGGAGGAGGAGGAGGAGGAGGAGGAGGAGGAGGAGGAGGAGGAGGAGGAAGAGGATAAAGAAGAGAACGAGGAGAAGGCAGGAGGAGGAGGAAGAGGAGGAGGAAGAGGAGGAGGAGGAAGACTAGGAGGGCGAGGACGTCCTTCTACGTTTCTGTAGGTTTCTAGAGGGGGAGGGGGGGTGGAACGTTCAGATCATGTAGGGAAGCGTCTTGTGGGAGGGAGGTGACGATGGGACTCTTCCATTTCGGCTTGCAGTGCAGTCACGTGCTCGATTATTCACTATCTGTTCACTGCAGTCCTCCTCCGCCTCCGCCTCCGCCTCCGCCTCCTGCTCCGTTTATTTTCTCCCTTCGTCTGTTCCTCCTCGTGGCTGCTTTTATTAATCGCTTCGCTCATTCCGCCGGCCCTGGAGCGCTATTTGGGGCCTCTTGGGGCCGTCTTGGGGGCTTCTTGGGGGCTTCTTGGGAGAGTCTTGGGGCTCCTTGGCGGCGTATTGGGCTCCCCTGGGGCCTCTTGGGGGGCTCTTGGGGGCCCCTTGGGGAGGGAGGGGGGATAGTCGATTGCAGCCCCCCCCTCGGAGGCCACGATCCTCGTGAGGGGTGGCGAAAAATAGCCTCCCCCCTGGGGATCGCCCGGGACCCGGCCGGGGATCGGCCGGGGTACTTTTCGTCCGGGGCCCCCCAGGGGCCGCCCTGCGCGCGCGAACTAGAAATATTGTTAAGTAGTTACCGGAGATCTCAGCACGCCTCTGGCCCGTTGGGCCGGCGAATTCTTCCGCCCCCAGGGCCTGGACCGAGATCTCAGGAAAGCCAAAGCGAGGTCCTGTTCGGGAGAAGTGTGCAACCTGAGGCACAACCACTGATCTTGCCTTCTCTGCCAGGTCCCGCTCTTCCATTGCTCCCCTCGCTGATCAGTCGTCCTCACTCCTCCTCCGCTCCTCCTGTGCGACGGGAGAGGACCGACCCTGGCCTTGCAAGTCCCTAGCCCCGCCCCATCCCCTGCCGAAGCCCCAAGTTGGCCCGAAGCAGGCTGTCCTCCCTCCCATCCTCTTCTCCTCCTCCTCCTTCTCCTCCTTCTTCTCCCACCCCCCTCCTGCTCCGCCTCTTCCTGCAGCTGGGCATCGACGGAATCGGTTCGGGAGGCCAGACCAGAGAAAAGACATGCCAGGATCAACGCCAAAGTATCCGCCCTCGGTCCAGGTCCGGGAGGCTTCTTCGGCGGCGCGGCGGCTGCCTTCTCAGAAGAGCACCTCCCAGGGCCCTGCCGTGGCGAAGCCGAAGCCGGCCGTCGGGCCAGCCGGGGCCCAGACTGACCCTCTTGGGATCCCGATCCACGTGGAGGGATCCCCGTCCTCCTCTTCCTCGTCTTCTGTTCCCCCTTCTTCGTCGCCTCCTTCCTCACCTAGTCCTCATCAGGAGTGGCCTCATCGACCATCAGCGATCGAACTTCGAGGCTCGAGGTTCGAGGATCGAGGCTCGAGGTTCGGGCTCAGTGATGAACGTCCGAGGATCGAGGCTCCTAGGCGTTTCCCGGGCTTCTGGGGAGCCTCCGGCAGGCGCATATGAACCGACGTACAGCCGAAATCAGGCACTTGCCCCTTGATTCTGATAGCTGGGCGGGTCCCTGCTCTTCCATGAGGGGCATTGCCTCAATCTGGTAAGAGTCAAAAGCGAATCTTCTCCACTGGGTTTCAAGAATGCCAGCAGTGTGCGCCAGCACCATAATGAAATAGTGCCACAGGTCCAGAAACGCCAAAGGCAATCGCCAAGCGCAGTCAAGGCAAGGTCATGCTACGCTACGCCGATCAAAGCCATGCCAATTCGAATAAAAGCTAAGCCCGTGTGAGCCAAGCTGGTTTCAGGCCCGGCCACACTCACGCGAGCCAGGCAAGGCCACACCGAGCCAACCCGATCCAAGCGGAGGGGACGATCGGCTGCTGATGGGGGGCTGACTGCCTGCTTGCCCAGAGCCATGCAGCAGTGAACACCGAGCATCGCTTTCTCTGGGACGGGGTCTTGAGAGTCTAGAAGATACCGCTGCGATCGCTGCGACGAGCTCTGTCAGAGTTCTGCCACGATCGCTGCGATCGCTGCGATCTCTGACTAAGTCATGCTTGGGCTAAGATCGCTGCGACGTGCTCTGCCAGCTGCCACTCGCCGAGGGCTCTCTGGGGCTCAGCTCTCGTCCCCGACTGCCTCCTGCGCGTCGAGCCGTCGCCGAGGCGGAAGGCTGGCTACCTAGGAGTGCGGTTTGTTGGTTGGAGCTGATTTCCAGCTGCTATGCCATGGCATCTTTCGCGGTCGCGTCCAGGCTTGTGGACGCGCCATCGTCGAGATGATGTTCCACGAAGAGGACTGCACGGAGGTTGAGGAAGACGGGGAGGAGAAGCAATGTGAGAGTGAGAAAGCTGAGGAGGGGGGTCGCTACCCGCATTCTGTTGGTGAGCAACCACGTGACTGCCCGTTGTTGCAATGTGGCATCGCGGTTGTGTGCTTCATGATGGGCCCTCGATGTCTTCCGCGTGCAGGTGAGTCTCCCTCTTCCCCGTTCTTCACCGCTCCCCAATTCCTCTCATTACCCATCCGTCCCCTTTTCTCCGAGCCGCTGTGCACCCTCTACTCTCCTCTCGCAGATCGGCGGCGATCCCGGGGGGGAAGTGAGAAGGGGCGGGCCTTCTCAGAAGGCTCGGACCCCCCCCGGCATTCTGAATCATCTTCTAAGCCTTTTCCGGGAACGGAGGCCTTCTGAGAAGCCCCGCCCTCTTCTGAGAAGGCCTTCTCCTTCTCACTTCCCCCCCTCGCTCGCCGCCGAGCAGCAAGACAGCAGGCATGATATATTGCAGATCTCTTTCTACCTCGTCGCCTCGCCAGGTCCCGCCAGCGACGCGCGGGCCCCAGGACGAGGACGACGAGGGGCTGACGGGACTGGGGCTGCGCCGCTCGCAGCGGATCGCTGGGAGGCTCGGCACTGGGGGCTCCGTGCGTCTTGCATGCTCGGGTGCGGCCAAGAGTGAGCTTAGGACTTCCAGTCCTTTCAGATGGGGTCCGAGTGGATGGGGTCGGAGGATCGCGCCGCATCGCCGATGCATCGGCGGTGCGTCTCGATGCGGAGCCCGACTTTCTACACGCAGGCTACGCCGATGCACCGCCGTCGTCGCCAGTTCATCGCCGTTGCATCGTCGGTGCATCGGCGATACGGTGCGATCCTCCGATCCATCTAATTGCTGGAACGGATTATCGATCCCCCCTTTACGGCGGAACTATCTCACTGTGCGCCCTTTGAATTGATATTCCGTTCCCAGAACCCTCAGTGCGGGATCCACCAAGACCATAATATGATCCTGAGAAGACCCCAATCGGATTCCAGCAGGATTCTTGCAAGATTTCTGAAGGATTTCTGAGGGCTCCTGAGGATTCCTGAACCATCCCAGAGGTTCCTGATGTTTTCAAAATGATTCCTGAAGCTTTCCTGAACGTTCCTGCAGGATTCCTGAAGGGCCCCTGACGGTTCCTGCAGCGAGGTACGGGGGTGGGGGGCTGAGGGTTCCAAGGGTCCCTGGAGGCTCATAAGGGGGTTCTTGAGGCTTCCTGAGGATTACTTCCGCCGATTCCGATTCCTGGAGGATTCGTGATGGTTCCCAGGTAGGCTTCCTGGAGAGATTCCCGAAAGCTTCTTCAGGATTCCTTATTATCAGTATCCCTGAGTGTCCTTGAATATTTTTTAGAATTCCAGAATCCTCGAAGGTCCCTGAGGGATCCCAGAAGGATTCCTGAGGTTTTCTGAGGATTCCTGAAGTTGCCTCGCGTTCCCTGAAGGATTCCTGACGGTTTCCTGGAGGATCCCCAGACGATTCCTGCTCTGACTGCACCTCAGCGCGAGGTGTACCATTTGCCATCGGGACCAAAACATCCTTTGCTTGAGATGACTCGTCGCTCACGCGACGATCTACTACTGGGACTATCGTTACTATGGTACAACAGAGCTGGAGCTGGGCTTCGCCTGAGGCGAAGCTGCTGGTCGGGCCTCCCAACACCTTTCAAACTACTCCTACTTCTCTTCGTGTTGCTCATCCTCCTTTTGGTTCGCCAACTTCTTTTGCTTTTCCGCCAATGTGCAAAGCCCCCCCCTTCTGTTCGCGCGTCACATGATGGGGTCATTGCAGGGATACATTGTATTCTAGGACACCCCAGTCGGTGGATACAGAAATATTTAGTGTAATGGGAACGGATGGGTAAGCAGGTAGTGTGTTAGACATGGCGCTAGCGCACCTCGCTTGTCTCTCCTCTCCTCCCCTATACTCCTCCCCCCTACGCTATCTTAGGTCATCCCCCTCTCCGCTGCCCTCCCTCAATTGGGGGCCTGGGGCATCCGTAGCTCCAAAACCGTACGATGACGGACCGCTCGGTGAGGTCGCTGGGGATTCCGAGGTCAACACGCGGTCCGTCACCACACGTGTCTTGGGCCCCGAGCTCCACCTCCCCTCCCCGACCCCCCTCCGCCACCGCCCGATGTGAAGGCTCCTCTCTTCTCGCCCCTCGTACCGCGTAGCCAATTTGATGGTGCCGCCTCTCCCTGTCACCGCCAGCGGCGCTGGTTTGGGTTCGAGTTCGCCTTCGCGAGCGCGGTTTGGGTTGGCGAGGCGCCCTTCTCCAGGGCGGCGGCGCGCGGGGCGCGATGCGCGAAGTTCTGGGCGGGCCGTCTTCGGCACTGCCTGTCCACTCGGATCGCCCTCGGCCGCTCGTTTTCGGCCATCCTGGAGGGCGCTCCTGCCCCTCTCTTGCCACTGCAGTCTTCGGGTGCAACTCCTGGTATATCAAATTCAGCATCGGCGCTGGCACACTCCCGCTTACTCTGGCATGCTCGGGATGCATCTGGGGCCTAATCCGGCGCAGGCCAGCCGAATGACTTTTTCATCTCGCTGAGTATTCTGGACAGGTTCTCACGAAGACCTCCCAGTAGTTGCTTCCTAGGATGGGCTCCCATTTCTGACTCGTCCTCCGGTCAGCGCCCGGGGAGCCTGCCTCTGCTCGACGCTCGCCGTGTCCTCATGAGCCCCTCCGTTCCATAATCAGGGTTTCGTGTGGCGAGGCCCCGACGTGCGACGAACATGTTTTTTCCAGTGCGCGGCCCCCGAGGTCCCGACCCCTTTCACGGGTGCAGTTTCTCGCCCCAGATTTGTGTTGGATGGTCTCGGGGCCCGATGACGGGCCCCAAAGGCCGAAGCGGAGGAACAGCGCCAGGATGGAAAAATCACATGGTCGGAGATGCACCCAACATCGAGAACTGCCCTCCCCCGGAATACCCTTGGGAGCCACTGCTGTTCGGGTCTGGGGCCCAGTAACATTACCCCCGCGGGGTCGGTGCTTTGCACTTGGGGTTTGCGCCGGCTCCCAGCTAAGCTTCGCGTTGACGGATCCCCCCCCTCCGCCTCCGCCTCCGCTTCCTCTCCTCCTCCTCCTCCCTACCCCCTCTCTCCCGTCGTCGTCGTCGTCGTCGTCGTCGTTGTCGTCGTCGTCGTCGTCGTTGTCGTCGTCGTCGTCGTCGTCGTCGTCGTCGTCGTCGAGTTGCCATTTCCTTGTATTCAATGTTTTTTTTTTTTTTGTCGTCACCGTCGTCGTTGTCCTCCTCACTCTCCTCCTCTTGCTCCTCCTCCTCCTCTTTCTTCTCCTCCTCCCCCTCCCGTTATTTTTTTTTGTTTGTTTGATTTTCCTGATGCGAGGATGTCTGGGCCCCTCTGCTCTCCTTGCCTCTCCCTTCCTTCCCCGCGCCCCCGCGCGAGAGGTCCAGCGCGGCCCCCCGAGAGGAGCGCGAGGAGGACCCCGCGCGGTCGAGGAGCCGGACTCTCAGGTCGGCGCCGGGCCACGTCGCCGCCTCAGCCGCGGGCCCGCGGGAGCAGGAGGACGAGGACGGGGACGACGAGGAGGACAAGGACAAGGACGACGACGAAGAGGCTGAGGAGGAAGCACACACACATATTTACACACGTGTACACACATACGCCCACACATACACATACACATGCACATACACAGATGGGAGGGGGAAGAGGAGCAGGAAATCAGGAGGAGCAGGATGCGCAGAAGGAGGAGGAGCAGCAGCAGCAGGAGGAGGAGGAAAATGATGATGCTGATGCTGATGCTGATGATGATGATGATGATGATGATGATCCTGATGCTGATGATGATGATGCTGCTGCTGATGATGATGATGATGATGATGATGTCGATGCTGCTGATGATAATGATGATGATAATGATGATGCTGCTGATGATGATGAAGCTGATGATGATGATGAGGACGATGACGATGATGCTGATGATGCTGCTGATGATGATGCTGATGCTGATGATGATGAGGATGATGATTAAACTTATGATGATGCTGCTGATGATGATGATGACGATGGTGATGATGCTGCTGATGATGAGGATGATGTTGATGTTGATGATGCTGATGCTGATGCTAATGATGATGATTGTGCTGCTGATGATGATGAAGCTAGTGATGATGATGCTGATGATGATGACGATGATGATGCTGCTGCTGCTGCTGATGCTGATGTTGATGATGATGATGCTGATGATGATGCTGATGATGATGATGATGATGCTGATGATGATGATGATGCTGATGATGATGATGATGATGATGATGATGATGATGTTGTTGCCGGTGATGATGAGGATGAGGATGCTGATGATGATGCTGCTGCTGATGATGATGACGATGATGATGATGATGGAGATGGTGGTTGTGGTAGTGATGATGATGAGGATGATGATAAGGATGATGATGATGATGATGATGATGATGATGATGATACTGATGCTACTGCTGATGATGATGTGATGGTGATGGTGATTGTGATGGTGATGGTGATGGTGATGGTGATGTTGATGATGATGCTGATGATGATTATGATGATGATGATGCTGATGCTGATGCTGATGATGATGCTGATGACGACGATGACGATGATGCTGATGATGCTGCTGATTATGATGCTGATTGTGATGATGATGCTGATGTGGATGGTGCTGATGATGCTGATGATGATGCTGATGATGATGATGATGCTGGATGATAATGCTGATGATGGTGATGTTGATGATGATGATGATGATAATGATGATGATGATGATGATGATGCTGATGATGATGATGATGAGGATGAGGATGAGGATGGTGATGATGATGATGCTGATGATGATGATGATGCTGATGATGATGCTGATGCTGATGCTGATGATGACGATGATGATGACGATGATGACGATGATGCTGAGGACGATGATGATGATGATGATGATGATGATGATGCTCATGATGCTGATGATGCCGCTGCTGATGATGATGATGATGATGGTGGTGGTGATGTGATGATGATGATGATGATGGCGGTGGTGATGATGCTGCTGCTGATGATGATGCTGATGATGATGATGACGATGACGATGACGAGACGATGACGATGATGATGATGATGATGGCTGATGATGATGATGATGATGATGATGATGATGATGATGACGAGATGATGCTGATGATGATGATGATGATGATGATGATGATGCGATGGATGATGTGGGCTTGGTTGTGATGATGGGATGATTGGGATGATGGTGATGATGGGATGATGATGATGATGATGATGATGATGATGATGATGATGATGATGATGATGATGATGATGATGATGATGATGATGCTGATGCTGATGATGATGATGATGATGATGAGTGATGATGAGTGATGATGATGATGATGATGATGATGATGATGATGATGATGATGATGCTGATGATGATGATGATGATGATGATGATGATGATGATGATGATGATGCTGATGATGATGATGATGATGAGATGATGATGATGATGATGATGTGATGCTGATGATGATGATGATGATGATGATTGATGTGCCTGATGATGACGAGGAGGGGGAGGAGGAGGAGAGGCGGGAGGAGGAGGAGGAGGAGGAGGAGGAAGGAGGAGGAGGGAGGAGGAGGAGGAAGAGGAGGAGGAGGAGCGAGGAGGAGGAGGAGGAGGAGGAGGAGGAGAGGAGGAGGAGGAGGAGGGGAGGAGGAGGAGAGGAGGAGGAGGAGGAGGAGGAGGAGGAGGAGGAGGAGAGGAGAGGAGGAGGAGGAGGAGGATGAGGAGGATTACGAGAGGAGGGAGAAAGAAGAGGAGGAGGAGGAGGAGGAGGAGGAGGAGGAGGATGAGGCGCTGGAGTAGGAGGAGCAGGAGGAATCTGAGGAGGAGGAGGAGGAGGAGCGGACTAGTAATACCAATCAGAAGAGCATTACTACTAATTGGAGCAGGAGGAGGAAGAGGAGGAGGAGGAGGAGGAAGGGGGAGGTGGATGAGGTGGCGGAAGAGGAGGAAGAGGAGGAGGATGATGCGGCGGCGGAGGAGGAGGATGAGGATAATGATGAGGATGAGGAACATGTAGCACACCGCAATTGCGAATAAGAGTGAGGGGGCGGGCCCCTGGCGACGCGGGCGTCGAGTCGGCGGACCTCGTGGCCTTCACCTTCCCTGTCGATGGCGCCCGCCTCCTCCTCCTCCTGCTCCTCCTCCTCCTCTTCCTCGTCCGCTTCCTCGTCCTCATCCTCGAATTTTTGGCTTGTTCAGTGAACGTAGTTTGGGTCGCGGGTGGGTCGCGGGCTCTCCACCGCCACCTGGAAGGAATTCAAAAACAGCCCGCCGCAGGCGCCGAAATTTTGATTTGTACACTGAACGCGGTTTGGGTCGCAGGTTCTTCACCTGGAACGAATGCAAAAGAAACCCGCCGCAGGCGCCGTAGTTTTGGCTTGTTCAGTGAACGTAGTTTGGGTCGCGGGTGGGTCGCGGGCTCTCCACCTCCACCTGGGAGGGATTCAAAATCAGCCCGCCGCAGGCGCGGAAAATTTTGATTTGTACACTGAACGCGGTTTGGGTCGCGGGTGGGTCGTAGATTCTCCACCTGGAACGAATGCAAAAGAAGCCCGCCGCAGGCGCCGAAAATTTTGGGTGGGTCGCGGGTTGGGTCGCGGGTGGGTCGCGGGTGGGTCGCGGTGGGTCGCGGGTGGGTCGCTGGCGCGGTTTGGGTCGCGGGTGGGTCGCGGATGGGTCGCGGGGTGGGTCGCGGGTGGGTCGCGGGTGGGTCGCGGTGGGTCGCGGGTGGGTCGCGGGTGGGTCGCGGGGTGGGTCGCGGGCGGGTCGCGGGTGGGTCGCCTGTATGTCGCGGGTGGGTCGCCGGGGGGGTCTCGGGGTGGGTCGCGGGCGGGTCGCGGGGTGGGTCGCGGGGTGGGTCGCGGGTGGGTCGCGGGTGGGTCGCGGGGTGGGTCGCGGGTGGGTCGCGGGGTGGGTCGCGGGTGGGTCGCGGGTGGGTTGCGGGGTGGGTCGCGGGTGGGTCGCGGGGCGGGTCGCGGGTTGGACGACGACAACAGCAAATAACAAACAACAAACAACAACAACAAGGGTCCGCATCGCGGAATTTCTTCCAGCCACGCACCCAGGGACAGTGAATGACCGTTCGGTTCAGCCCCATCACTCTGACTAGTGACGAAGCATACGAACAGTACTAATACCAACAATACTTATATCAAGAAGAATACGAATAATACAGTTGCGAAAAATATTAACAAGACAAATGATACTAATAATACGACGAATCAGAACAACATTGATCCGAATAGTAAGGATGATAATACTGAACAGACTCATAAGCATGATACTACTAATAATAAGACGACGAATGCGAATCATGATAACAGTATGAATCTGATGTTTTCCATAATGCGGATAATACGTAACACCCCGCAATTGCGGATA